CTGCTGCCACGGACGTGAGAATCAGCAGAACAGAAGCTAAATGTCACAGAATCAAACTGGTGAGTTTGAAGAGAAGTGACAGAAAAACACTGAACATTTGGGTTTCCACGCTTAAAATGTGGTTTCACAGTTTAGGAAAAAAAAAAAAAAACCCTAACAAAATCTGAGAGTTTTCACGCCGGCTTTTTTAGAAATGTACCTGCGATGCCATTCAACACAGAACTAGAGTGAGAAACAAGTATGTGACTCCAATGTCATTTTCTTGGCACAGCCCGGTCCTCCAGCTGTCATCTGATGAGAGCGAGATAGGTGGGTGGTTTGAGCTACGACAGAGAGGCGTTTGAAGGAGAAACTGAGACGGCGACCCTTCGCGGATGAGATCGGACTTTCTCACAGCCCTGCTGGCGAGCTCACCTGTATTGATCCCTGTGGACCCTGTCGGGGAGACGGCTGTCTGATGGATCTGTGTATCGCGCCAGATGTCAGAGTCCTCAATCGTTTGATTTGAAACTCATCTCGCCGAGTCCCATCGCAGAGTGAAATGTGAGTCTTTTCTGCTGCGGGGAGCTAACATGACCTTGACGCGCTCCACTAGAGGAGGGCTGGAAAACACGAGGAGCTGATGAAGCTGACGAGCTTTAATAGAGGAGGCTGGTAAAGGGTTCTGAAGGCTGATTAAACATAACGCAGCCCGCTGACTGTTTAACAGTTTAAAGCCTAAAGAAAATGATGAGTTGGACCAGCAACATAGTGGTTGTAGATCTGTTTTGATGTTCTTTTCTATCAAACATTCTCAAGAGAAAAGCAGATCAGGACACGGAAGAACTGAAATTTTGCAAACATTAAACTATTTAATGCAAGTTTAGCTGCAGTTGCTGGAGAGGAATCTGTCCAACTTAAATATACGAGGTGAAGCAGAAAGGTTAGAGGTTGGATTTTAATGCATTAAAGTCCCACTGCTAATATACTTTAATGCGTTAATTACGATTAATTAATTACAACAAAAATAATGCATTGAAAAATTAATCACAGTTTGCATCCAGACAACATGGAGCGTTGGTCAGCGCCCGATTTCATGGTCCATCGATCAAACGATGCACAAGATGCGTCAGCGCTACGCTAACAGCAGGAAACATGGAGGAAAATGATGACAGCACGTCACTGGGACTGATGGAGTTTCATTTTAAAAACCTGCCTGATGGAAGCCTTGACGAGAGCCTGGTTTTGTGCAACTGGTGCAAAAAAGAATTTGCATCCCACCGACGCACATCGAGCTGATGGTACCGCCTGAATGCAAAGCACAGAAACCACCGGAGCTCTTAGCACTGGCGGTCCTGGTCCAAGTGGCGGTGTCGGCAGCCCACACTGGACCCAATTCAGAGTCAAAATTAGTAAATCGACATCTGACAAGCTCACAAACTCCCTTCCAAAATGGATCACTCTGGACTGTCGACCACTTCCGGTGGTAGTAGGGTTTAAAACATGTGCAACAAGTTTTTTTAATGTGTTATTTTTGTTGCAATTAATTAATCGCAATTACCGTGTTAAGGTCCCACCCCTATTTATTTCTTATCTGGAGCATCAGAAGCATTTCTTGTTTGCTTTTTAGGTTTTTGCACCTGACTCCTGCGCAAACTGTCGCCTACGTCGTCTCCATCTCTACGGTGGCTCCCTCTCTTCAGACCTGGCAACCCATTCATTGCTGCTTGAATTCCTTACTGTTATTATTAGTGTGCCAGCTTGCTAATGTTGCCTCAGAATCCTGATTTAAAACATATATAACGCGAGATTCGTTACTGTGTGAACTTGTGAGATAAGGCCTTGAATGACAAAGTCCACCACTCCAGCTAGAGAGTAGATAAACTCCAGAAACTTTAAGAAATGGTTAAAAAAAAAAAAAAGACACTATCTTTTAAACTAGTCTCCAAAGAGTGTCACTCTCATTTGAGGCCCACACACACACACACACACACACACACACACACACACTGCCTGAACATGAGGAGAAATCCAAAGCTTGACAGTTCTGCTGTGCTTAGTTATGATTTCTAAGCTATGACTGAGCAGTTGCTGGGTTCAGCGAACAGTCAGCCGACATAATTACCTAACAGTCTGCTGGCCTGCCCCTGCAGCGTTGCACACCAGCAGCAGGATCTTGACAGGGACGCCCTGGTTGAGGAACTCTGACGATAAGGTCCCAGCTGACGTTAACCTCTGACCCTCGGGTCCGGTGGAGTATGGAGACGACGGCAGGCTGTGATGGTATCCTGCAAGAGGACGGAGAACACAAGAGAGGAGCTGAATCAAAGAAAAAGAAGAGACGACAGAAAGCATTTCTGACTAGAGGTACAGTCATAGGACACTTGGTAAATCCTACAGATGCTGAGCACATACATATTTTACAGTCTTTTGGCAGACGTCTCACTTTTAACGACTTTACAGCGGCAGCATGACGGCGCACGATGTTTCACATGTTCTCCTCGAAAGGAAGACGATCGGATTTCACATCCTGAAAATGTGATCGTTAAACTTAACACCTCCAACGAGGAGCGAGCAGGAGAATAGAGATACATAAAGTGGCGAGACAGCAGCTTTCTATTTAGGGGAGCAGTGATTCAGAGGGGAGAACAGATGGACCAATGGCTGCCTGCACTCTCAGCAGGAGGTATTATCTGATGCAGCTTCTGCTCCACATCCTGTCCTGGTGGGGTGCCAGGCAGCACCACTTCGCTCCCTCATGTCTCCGCCGCCGCCGTCGAGGAGTGTGACTGACGGAGTGAAAAGCTGAGATTATGAGATCCCCGCGAGATGTGACGTCGGCAGAGCTGCCTCCTCGTCACCCTCAGCGTAGGTCAGGCCTTCAAGAAGTTCACGGCGATAAATCACGCGGTAAATTAGACCCGCGGACACAGATGAGAAGGTATTGATTGACTGCGGGGGCTGTGCCTTCCCTAAACCTCCATGTTTCATTAAACGTTGCTGTTTACACCTGACGCGCGATTCGTCACTGACAAAGCAAATGCCACCGCTGAGCATCCCGACATCCCTGTGCAGCGATGCCTCCTCCTGCACGAGTAATTGGGATGTGAGGGCGTGACGCCGCGCACTGTATGAAGGGCAGGACCTATTCAAAACTAATCAGAGTCTACATATGAACCGCCAAAGCCTCAACGTCAGACCTCTGATTGCCGTGTCCTGACCCTGGGAACGAGCGTAATGATAAGCACGCACAGCTTTTCATTTATTAATGTCACTCTAATCAAGCAAGTGATAAAACTTACTTAATCATGTGCTTTCATTTACATGAGCAGCGACCTCTGACAGTTGCGGGAATGATTTATGAGGGAAAATCTCCTTTTAAATTCCCTATGAAGCATGTTCATGAAACAGCAGTAAAATGCAGAGGTCACCTCCCGGCCTGTCCCACTAAGATTTATCCAGGGCCGCTCGCGAGGAGACCTGCCTCTCATTGCTCATTAAATCATCGTTTTTTATTTTTTTTATGAGGAGCTGTCAAATACTGAACTGTTTCTTGACATTTTTTTTCCAAGGCTCCTGTCACTGCTCTCTTGATTTTTCTTTTTTTTTTTTTTAAAGCCTCGTTGCTGAGATGATGAATGGTCATGAGGTGGGACTCGTGTTTTCAGCCTGACGGTTCCCACAGGTATGCTGGCGCTTACAGTACAACCATGGGAAATGTGCAGCACCACACCAAAAGTTAGCTCTGTTTAGTCTGCATACCTGTTGATCCTGATCCTGTGTTCTCCAAAAGCCTCAAACTAATTCTGTGAAACCACGGGAAGCCTGTGAACACGTCATTCCTCTGCACTCTCAGGCGTCTTTCTTTGTCAAACAGACACACAGGGTGAGCCACACTAAACACTGACAGACTATGTGAAAGCCCGTAATTAAACACCTTTACACCTGAAGGGATCTACTCTCCCCACAGCGACAGCTACACCCGCAAATCCCACTAGCTGTCTGCACAGTCATATGCAAAGATGTTGCTAGACAGTCAGTCACAGCAGAAGTACACCTACAGCATACTTAGATTTTTTAACGTGCAGATTTATTTTCAAATATTGCATAACGTGTAATTTGTTAACTACTTTGAAAATATTGAGAGTGAGATTTTCTGTGTTATCGAACTTTCAAGCTAATCGTGCTGCTAGTTTTGCTGTGTGTCTGAGTGAACTACTTCAGCTTAGTTAAATCTTACTCATATCGCGCCAATTCACGACATATGTCCTCTCAAGGCACTTCAAATACAGACAAACCCAGAGTTTCATCTGGATTCTCTTTGAGCAGGCAACAGCAGAACCAGGCCAACCATCTGCCTCGAACCACACAGTCTGTTCACAGGGGTTCCTCAGGGGTCACTGCTCGGTCCCCTCCTCTTCTCAATATACACAGTCTCACTTGCCGCAATAATCCTATAATCATTCTATGCTGATGACACCCAGCTCTTCCTGTCGTTCCCCCCAGATGACAACCTCATCATGCCTTGCAGATATCTTGTCATGGATGAAAAAACGCCACCTTCAACTTCAGCCTCTCCAAGACTGAGCTCCTTGTCATTCCAGCCAGTCCCTCGAGACAACAGGAAATCAACACCCAGCTTGACTCAACCCAACTCAAACCCACAAAGTCTGCCAGAAACTTGGCTGTCATGATTGATGACCAGCTAACCTTTGAGGCTCGAGGCTGTTGCTCGGTCGTGTCGATTTGCCCTGTACAACATCAGGAAGATCAGACCTTTCCTGTCTGAACATGTAGCACAACTATTTCCTTTCGTAATATTACACATCGGCTACTGCAACTCCTTACTGGCAGACCTCCACGGACACACGGTCAAACCTCGCAACCAGCCAAAATCAGCACAAGTCACCTCGTTGTTCAGATCGCTTCACTGGCTTCCAGTTGCTGCCTGCATCAAATTCAAAACTCTTGTCCACAAAACTACCATGAATACAGCTCCCTCCTTCCTGAACTCTCTCATTCAGGTCTACACTTCCTCACTACGCTCGGCCAACAAAAGCCGCCTGATACGACCACAGCAACGGGGCGCGAGGTTCCTCTCAGGCTTTAAGAAAAGACTAAAGACGCAGCTCTTCACTGAACACCTTTGCGCTTCACAGACTGCAAAAATAAAAAATAAAAAACAAAATGAAAATCCTATTACCTCCCGTGCTGTCTGTAGGCACCAAGGTCGTATCACACTTGAACTTGTTTTATGGCACTTATCCAGGTTGTTTTCTCCTGAATAGATCCTCGCTTGTGTTGTATTTGCTCTCAGATAAAAGCTAAATGAAACTGTAGAATTGTAGCCTGGTTGGGGTTCAGATAACGTCATGCATGCTGTCTTTAAGGTTTCGTTCTTTTCTTTTCATTAAGACATGTTTAGAATAAGGTTTCCATCTCCTGCATGTTACTGTGACTCCAGTGTTGCCGTTGTTCCGCCCACGGCTCTCCTTTGTCACGTGTACAATTAATAAACAATAAACGGTTCGGAGGATAACAAACAAAACCCAAACGGCAGTCTCGGGGATGATCTCATCTCGCTGAAAACTGGGCAACAAATGACTCGAAGGCGGAAACAGTTCTGCGTTTGTAACCAAGATAAAAGCAAGTGAAATGGATATTTAACTGCGAACGCCAAGTGTCTGTTTCCAAGTATTCTTTGGCAGGTGATGCAACTTTCAAGTCTCACCCTTGGCACTCAGTATCCTTAATAATGATATTATGCTTACTCATTTCTGTCGAATCCCAACCAGAGAAGAACTCTCTCTCTCTCTCTGCTGAAACTTGAGAATATACCTATGAGGTGTTTTCACAGGATTTATTAATACTTGGTTACCACGTTGGAAGCACATTAAAGGACTGGGATGCATGGAGACGTCAGTTGTGTTAAAGTGGGAGTATGTGTGTTTATTCACTTCCATCATGAGTAAAAGTCAAAGCTGACTGTCTCCTGGTGGTGGTGGGTTCATATTTAGTCCACAGACATGAGCTGCATCATTATTTTTCTTTGTCTCAACAAGAAAAGGCAAATATTCTGCTGTTACTATGACGGTAGATGATAGAGATCCATGTGCTAGCAAACAGGACGATGACTTTGGAGGGAAGGTGATGTATGCTGCGGGGAGATGATGACGGTGATGATGTAAAAGATTAATATTAATGCTGCAGCGGGGAGGTTGGGAGTCGTGAACGGAAAGGTCACACCATCATTGGCTCGCCTTTGGCTTAATCCAGGGGTAGCTAATGTTCTCACTCGCTGAGCTCCTCGTGCTGCCTCCGACCACCTTCTGCATCTGGAGGCTTTAAATCTAACTCGTGTCTGTGAGTAACTGTTAAAATTCACAAAATAAATCAGCAGCAATCGGTCCAAGGAGAAACTAGTGCGCTGGAGCATTTTAACGTCTGACTTTTAGCTTTAATTGCACACATTAGATCTGCGTTTGGAGGAACCTGCTCTTCACACACCGACCTCACACTCAATATGTGGCTTAATTCAGCGCCTCAGGACACAATGGGAGAACCTTTCCCTAACGTTAGCACGGAACATGTTTAGATCCAGCCTTTAATGAGGGTTCTATCTAAACCACGAGACTCTTTTACTTTCATTTAATCATTTATGGATAATTGATTAAGGGTCTGTTGGATTTAGTAATTGCAGAGGGGGGTGTAAAGATCACATCTTTATGGCTCCAGACTGTCTAAAAGCATTACAGATCATCGCTTTAACTGGATGAAAAAAAAATGCAGTCAGGTTGTGTTTTCATGCATAACACAGAACTATATATATATAATATTTAACGGCCGTCTTTACTCACAATGTGTTGATTTTATTGCTTTATTTTATCTTTATTGCATAAACAGCAAGGCAGACTTTATTTTTTTTTATCTGTTGCAGTTTTCTTTTCTGGGTGAAATAAAAATAAATGAAGGAACTTAATCGCCCGTTTATGCATGTAAATAATATTCAAAAGACTCGTGGGATAGTTAACAGTTCTGCAGGCATTTATTTATTTTGCATTAACTCTCTGAACCCTGCACAGTGTCTGGGAGGCGTCTTTTTTTTTAACTGTTATTGCATTTTTTACTCACTGTGGGCTCATTTTTCACTCCAGTCCTGCACCTCGATGGAAAAGAAGCAGTTCAATTTCTTTTTAATTAAATTAAAAATAAACAAAAAAAATGGAGTTAACATGCACAACATTTTTTCCAGGTGTCCACAGGTGCTTCCTTCATGAAAGCACAGCCTGCAGTTCAACCCAGAGGAGCTGAAAACTCAGAGTTTTAGTCATGGGACCCGCTAGTGGCATTTAATTAATTTATTTATGAATTTGTTTGCATCAATGGTTAAGTTTTGGTGTTTTTTTGTTTAAAGAGACACGTAAAAATAAAGTGACTTCATGAAATATTACGACTCAAATTGAACCAAATTGAAAATCTGATCTGTTTTTACAGTTTGTGGCTCTGATTTGTGTGGGGTCATTTTTTATTTTTAAAAGACCAACATGCCTGTTAAACCCAACAACAAGCTGTGGGGTTCAGAAGCAGCAGAACAAGGAAATGCTGCCACAGTATTACGACGAATATGTGACCTTCAATGGATCCTACCTCCTAGACGGAAACCCGCTCAGCAAACTGTGTATACCAACAATAACTCCGCCTCCATCTTTACCCGAGCAGCTGAAAGAGATGTTCAAACAGCAAGAGGTGGTCCGAATGAAACTGCGACTGCAGCACAGCATTGAAAGGGAAAAGCTGTTTGTTTCAAATGAGCAGGAAGTCTTACGAGTCCATTACCGGGCAGCAAGAACACCAGCCAATCAGACCCTGCACAGTTCTGCTGGATGCTGAAGTGAACAACATGCCTCAAGACGTCCAGAACGATGACGGCAAAACGTCAGTAAGAGATCGATTCAACGCCCGACAGTTCACGTCCTGGTTACAGGATGTTGACGACAAGTTTGACAAGTTTGAGGTGTTAAATCATGTGTGTGATGCTTTGCACACATTTCAGTTGATCAAGTGAACATCACCTGATTTCTGCCTCAGTGACATTTAAATAAACACTGACATTTTGGGAAAACAAGCCCAGCGTTAATTTTTTTAAGAACTCCGACAGCTTGTCTACACAAAGGTGTTTGATGGAGCAGATGCACTTCTATTTAAACCCGCTCTACCGAGGCAGAGTTTTCTTGCATTATACTCAACCTGGGCTGTTTTCTTCTTTTCCCTGAAAGTCTATGTTCTTCTGCTTTCTGTGCATAATGACTGTGTGTTGGGCTGTGTTTGCAGGTGCCTGAATGCATCATGTGTAGACACAGACGGAGGCCAAAGCTGCTGCTGCTGCTCTGCTAATGTGCTGCTGTCGCTGCACAGGCTGTGTAGACATTGCGTAAGTTGAACGGCAAACAAGCGCATATCCTGCTATTTCCTTAAAGGATGATAATGTCTTAGATGTGTTCTCGTGTCGCTGTGGCAGACTAAACCAGAGGGAACTCGGGGGATCCAGTCACGTGGGGGCTCCTTTTAGGCGGCGCTGCTGTGTGCGGCTGTTGACCAACATAAATTAAAGCACTAAAAGTCACATTTTTCAAGGGGAACATCATTGCTGACACAGTGCTGGGACTTGCAGCCCCGTGAGAGCGGACAACGGAGCACAACCTATTTGTTTGCAGCACAGAACACAGAAGCGAGGGAACACTGTGCACCGAAGTACTTCACGTTTTATATCACGAGCTGAGAAACGCATGAAATGAAGACATAAATCTGAGAGCGCAGGGAAATCTGCGCAGGGGGGATGTAACCCGCACGGCTCTTTGTGAAGTTATATGGTTCCTAATGTGCTCCCTGAGGAGCTCCTGCATCAAGGAGAGTTCCCTGAAGGTTTCATTAAGCAAATTAATAAAATGGGTTTTGTTTGCTTACAGATCTACATTAAAGCAGGGAAATGCATTCACAACCAGCTCTAATGCCTAAAGACAGTGTAGGTTTTGCTGTGACTAAAAATATCTTCTTTTTTTTCCCCGTAAATGGAGATAAAAACTGAGTTTCCGTCTCCGGCCGTGCAGATACCTGAGATCCGTGCAGAGCCTCCTCTGATGTAGAGCGGTGGAGCCTGGAAGGCGTAGATGACGTCGTTCTCGGCTATGCTAGTTAGATCCTCCTCATCAAAGAAGGAGCGGTGGAAGCCTGTGGAGTACACCTCTGTCAGGATCACCTGCAGATCCACACACAAAGACCAGTCAGTTCATTAATGCAGCAGGAGCTTTGACTCCACCAACCTCTGCACTGTGATTCCCCCTAATCTCAGAATAATGCTGCAACCAAGAGGAAAGTCAAAGCAGTGGAAAGGAAAGGATGGCTACTGGAATCAAAGGTGAGCCACTTCTCAGTTTATAGTTCAACCCCTGGATCTGCTACGTTACCTGGTCCGGGGAGATTTTCCCCTCGTCGGCCACCATCCTCCTCAGGCAGGCCACGGAGCCGAACAGCGGCACCGCCAGGCCGACCCGCAGGTACCGCTGTCCTTTGGTGCTGAACACCAGCGTCACACACATCGGCCTGCCAGACACAAAGACACACAATCAGGGCCGGTGGGAAGCACAACGGCCTCCCTCTCTGATTTCTGTGCCGTTCCCCGCCGCAGCTCTACGGCCAAGAAGGGACAAAAGAAGACTTTCATGAATAAATCAATACATTTTAGCATTAATAATAGATCATTAGGACTCGGTTTTATGTGTGCGAAATAATGGAATCTCTATTGCATTTTTAAAAACGGGGGAGCGCTCGGCTCTGACCTCTCCAGAGGGAGCGTTGACACGAGCAGGGTGCCGGGACATAATGGCTTCTCTGAATAACAGCTCACTGAGGAGGTACAGGAGCTGAGTCGGGAACCTGTGGGAGTCTGCAGCCGGCAGCGAGCTGCACGGGAGGACGAACACGAAGGAGTGGAGGGGCGATGACAGACGGTTTTATGTTCATTTGTACATGAATTTAATATAAACGCAGAGGGCAAACGATAAAAG